CTTACTGGCTAAGGACAGGGGAAAGTGACCCACCTCGGACGGAATCCGCCCTGAGTGCAGCTCCGGCAGGATGCTGTGTTATCCTGGAAGAGCTTCCGGAAGGAAGGAAAGGAAGGAAGGAAGGGCTTTCATGTGTTGATTGTGCCAGTTCACCTCTGTGTAATTGCTACCCCCGCCTTGGAGTTCTGCTCTTAACTAAGGCTGGGGGCAGAGTGAAACTGGGGCAGAGAGTGAGCGTGGCTGGGAGGAGAACGAGTCTGGAGTGGGGACGGAGATTGGGATAAACGGCGACAGGCCATCACCAGCCTGGCGGCCTTGTCCCCTCCTGCGAGTCTCTGTCGGCGGCAGTCAGCCAGGGTGGGGACGCAGCTCGTGGCCACCACATTTATAAACACATGAGAGGGGCACATCTCTGTTGAAACAGAAAAGAGACCTGGGGCTGTGTGCAGAGCCACCTTCAGAAGAGCCTGGGCAGCGCTGGGCTTCTCAGAAGCCTGTGGGCCTGAAGCACCAGCCCAGGTGCGCCAAGAAGGTTCGTCCTCAGGGCCCCGTCGGTTGGGTGGGGACCCCCTGAGCCTCAGCTTTGCTCCCAGCTTTCTTCCTTCATGTCTGCCCTGGAAAGGGAATTTACACACAAACAACCCCCCCCCCCCAAAAAAAAACCAGCAATAACACCGATTCCTGAGTGTCAGCACACCCTTTATATCATCAAGTGCTGAAGGCCTCGGGATGTCCATTGATATAAAAAAAAAAAATCACCTGTTCGGGTAACTGCAGTCGACTCTGATGGTCTGTTAACAGCCCCAGAGTGAAAAGGGGAAGTCTTTATTACTAATAACCAGCAGCCCCTTCCCCCCTTAAATTCTTCCTTGACTGTACATTTGCCCAGTGAAATGATGCCTGTCTGGCTCTGCACAAAACCGGGCTGAGGAGGGACCCAGGGGAGAGACTCGAGCTCAGGAGGGACACAGAGGAATTTAGTGCTCAGCTGGAGGAGAGACAGGGGAGAGACTCGAGCTCAGGAGGGACGCAGGGGAGAGGATCTCAGCTGAAGTGCAGCACTCAGCGTTGTCCGCTTGTGACAAAGCCTTAATCACTCTGCTCCCAAACTGTGAAACAAGCAGCTTAGGCAGCCCCAGATAGGCGCGTTCTTACTGGGCCTTCAAAGCCGTTCATAAACACTTGCTAATTAATCTGCTCACAGGCAGGAGGTGGGGAGCTCTGAAGTACGGTGGGAGGAGCCTGCACCTGGGCTGGAGGGGAGAAGCCCCCCACCCTCCTCTGGAGTCTGCCCCAGTGGCACCCAGCAAGTTTCCGGGCGGGCAGGGGCGGGGGCCTTGAGGGGCGGGTGGGGGCCCTGCTCCTCCCCAGCGGCCCCTCCTAAAGGGAGCAGGAGCCGCTTCCCCGCCCCTGCGGCCCCTCCTGGCCCGGCTCCTCCTCCGGTGCCCCTGCCGGGTCCCCCTTCCTCAGGAGGAGCCCTCAGTGCCCCCCCCTCACACACGGGGGCTGCCGCTCTGCTGTGCAGGACACACGGGGCAGTGGGAAGGGGCTTGGGCGCTCTTAGATGTGGGTCTGACCCAGCACGGTGGTGGAAGTCCAGTTCCTGGACAGAACAGACGGTTCCTCCAGAGGGTCAGGCTCCATGTCCTTGTGCCTCCCGCTCCTCCCTCCTCCTCATCTCCTCTCCTCCTCCTCCTCCTCCCCTCCCTCCTCCCCCTCCCAGCAGCAATGGAGCAGATGCTCCCCTTGTTACAGGCCCCACACCACAGTCTGCGTCTGCAGCCGCCCAGACGAGTCTTGTGGGAACAGAGGCTGTGTGAGTCTGACAGACTGTGCAGTGGACAGAGGCCGTGTGAGTCTGACGGAGGTTGTGTGCAGTGGACAGAGGCCGTGTGAGACTGACGGAGGCTGTGGCGCTTCCTTCAGTTCCCTGGTCTCATGGAGCTTTGGGCGCAGTCATTTCCATGCTGTGTCCACTCTGGGTCAGCCTGCCCGAGAGACACGGCTGTCCATCCATGCTCCCACCTCGCCCTATGTGGAATGCCCTCCTTCTACTTGGACAAACACCCCCAGGACAGGCCCCGGGAATGCCCCACCCAGGAGTCAGACCTGCCTTGTGCCCGGCCACCCCCGGGCAGCTCGGGGCAGGGTCCCCCTTTCCTCTCCGGTGTCTTTGCTTCGCTCTCCTGCTCGCCAGGCAGCGGGCACACGTGCAGACCGTGGAGTGGCGGGAGGTGAAGCTCCTTGCTCAGTCCGCCCTGGACGGCTGCTCACCCCCGGCTCTGAGGCATCCACACGCCCACACACACAGCCCCGGCCCAGAGTTCAGGGGCACGAGTGCACGCACACAGCCTCCACTCACTAGGGCAGCCGGCCACCAACACACATGGCTCTGCTGTCTCCCAGCTGCACGTATGTGCGTGACTTAAGAGTTCTGGGGTGGTTTGACTTGAACCTGGAGGAGCTGAGGAAACGTCCTGAGGGAAGGGGTGTGTGCCGAGGTCAGGGGTGCAGGGCTGTGGCAGGACTCGGAGCTGCTCAGGGTGGGCAGAGACACCCCCACTCAGCTCCTGGTAGCGGGACCTCCTGCAGCTGGCCTGGGACACGGGTGACACGCTGAGCCTCCCCGCCCCCAGACCGGCTGCTGTGGCTCTCCTGGGACCCCGACTGCCACCAGCTCGTTCGTCTCTGCTCCTCCACCAGTGCTGTCGACAGGGAATATCATTTCTAGAATTTCTGCTCAAGTTAGCATTAAAAGAGAATCCGGAAATCTGCACACACACACACACATACGTGACCAATGACACATGTGTTGGTAGACTTGTTTGTACATATGGTATGTCGGCATACATGTAAAATGACACGCACATGGATAGGGACCCACGTACAGTGACAGCACATATGGCAGATGTGCTCGTGTGTACAGAGATAGCCCTTGTGGCGAGGCATGTGCACACGTGTAGAGACAGTGCGTGCAGATAGGCGTGTGCACTCAAGTACAGACAGTCCCTGTGGGCAGGCATATGCGTGTACAGACAGTGCCTTGGGCAGGCGTGTGCACGTATGTGTCTGATCTGAGTCTCTGTCTCAGCAGAGATGCAGCTTCTCAGCCCAACTGCAGCACCGTGGAGAGAACTCAGCTCGGGTCTGTCCTGCGTGAGGGTCTGTAAGGGTCACCCTAAGGAGGCCCCCTAGGACTGCCTGTGCCCCTGAAGGGTCCAGAACGTTCCTGCCCGGACTGTCCAGCATGGCCTAGACACACAGCTCTGGGCCACACCTGGTGGTTCTTAGGTACTCCTGGCCCAGTGCACAGGGAAGTCCTGGTGGCCCCCGTGGTCCCCCTAACTCAGTGCTCGTGGGTCAGCAGGCAGTGCTCGGGCGATCATGGGCCTCGTCACCAGCCCATGCACTGAACCCACTGGGCCACCTGGCCTCAGGCGCCTTGCGGGTAGGGCTCTCCCTCTGGGATGCCCCTTCTGCCCAGCTTGGTGTCCAGGGTGCATCTCTGACCACCCCGTGGGTCCTCTTCCTTGGTGCCCCACCAGGAGGAGCTCTGGGGGCCGCGGGGGTTGGGAGTCGAGGCCTGGTCACTCCAGGCTTCCACTGTCTGGCTGGGACATGCATGCGGCAGGCTGAAGCGGGAACCCGGCGCCCTTGCTCTGTATCCTGTGCTGATCCGTGTAGCACTGGTGGAGTGGACGGCATGGTCAGTCTCCGGCCTGCAGCCACAGGATCCCGTGGGTGAGGCACCGTCGCTGGCTGCCGGCTCTTCGTTGGCACCATGCCGGCCTGTCTGCCGAGGGAGGGAGCCCGGCACCCACGGGCACTGTGGAACCCCTGTGGCGTGTCCTCCCTTTCCCCTGCCCACGTCCATATGTCCCTCACGACCGAGAAGACTGAGCCAAGTGCTCTCTGACGGAAGCCAAGAGGGTCGCCCCCGCCCGTGGTTCTGGGACCCCGAGGCCCCGCCCGGTTGTAAGCTCCGGCCTGCGGCTTTGGAGGCAGGACTTCCCAAGCTCTCACTGACCCTTAGCTTTGTCACCGGGTCAGAGTCGTGCCCAGTCCGCGTCATGGTACCCGAATCAGGGCCAGCCCCTGCGTCCCCCCACACACTTGGATGGGTGAAGAGCAGTGCCCAGGCGGGTGGAGTCGTCACACCTTGGTGGCCCCATCCTGGGTGGGTGTCGGGATCCTTGGTCTGGACGTTCCAGCCTCACCCCCAGACCTGCCCAGGCCTGCCAGGACCAGGGCAGCTGGCCTCTCGGAGGGCCAGCGGCCAGCACAGTGATGTGGCTGAGTCTGGCCCCCTTCCGAAAGGCCCCCGGAGGCTCCAGACATGGGGGCAGGGGTATGCTGCCCATAGGGGGCCCTCGTGCACTGTCCTCAGGAGGGGGCTCCTGGCCCACCACTCCTCCCTCCTGTGCTGCAGTTTGATCAGAATCAGAAAGTGCAAGGTGACTTCAGTTCAGGAGACTCAGATGGAGCAATTTCCACATTTTTTATGTGATTATGTAACATGTGTCATTGGGAATTTCCTCGGGTCTGTCTGAGAAATCAGTCTGAAGATGAACCTGTGTGGTTCATAAGACTGTGGTTTTCTATCTTATGAGGGATTCTGGACCCCCAAAAGCAGGGCTTCCAGATACCTGCCTTTTCAGCTCCTGTTGGACCAAAAGGTTCTCATTAGCGAAGATGAGGGAGTTTAAAATTTCACAGTGATTATTTATTCTAATTATTTTCTACCAAGAATTAAAGTGGCACACTCATTGGAATCCGTCTCACTGACTTGTTTAACTCGTGAAGCTGTTACCCCCCCGTGCCTGAGTTACATAAATTATTTATAAGTTTCTTCAATGTGTGCACTTTCCTCGTACCTGATTCTTTCCACGGAGGCTGTTGAGTGAATGATGCGGGTTTATGAGAAGCAGAGAAGCCCGTGTTTGAGAGCCCCTTTTCCCAAGTTTGACTTGCTTGTACTTGTCTTTTGCAGATTAACGGCTTTACCTGGAGACGAAGCACGGTGTCCGCCGAGACTGGACAAGGCTTCCTGTTGCTCCTGGCAATTAAAGATGCTGTTGCCGTGGCGACCGTGGCTGCTGTTCCCCCTCCTCTGCTGCCTGGGAGGTAACCGCCGTCTCCCCCCTCCCCCGAGTCGCGTGTTCACTGATTGTGAGTGTGGGAAGGATGCCCCGCCTGTCGCAGGGATGGATCCTCTTCATCCTGGAGGGAAATGCTAATTCTGTCCTCAGAATTGGGTCCTCATTCACTCCTGGGCTTTGCTGGCCCTCGGATTCACACCTCGCGTGCATCCGTGCGAGGGTCGTGAAGTGAAGGATTCATCACACAGTGAGAATGTTGATCCCTGAGCATTTCTCCAAAGGGGGCTGGACGTCGTCATCTGCCGCACACAGGAAGGGTGGGAAGTTTCAACTCTGGTGTTTCCACGTCTACTCTCGAACATATTCTTAAAGCAAATTCGTATTTAAGGGACTGATGAAGATGGGGACGAGCTACTCCCCGTTCAGATGATGCACACTGCGGTGAGAACAGGAGAGCCGCGTGGCCCCCTGCCCCACAGAGCAGCCTGGGCATCGCGGCAGCTCCCGTTCCTCCTGCTGCTGTCCCGGTGGAGGGCGGCCGGCAGACAGACAGACAGACGGCCCTTTCAGAGCGAATGGTGTCTCAGCTGGTGTGTGTTGTTGCTCTCCTCGTCACGGAGAGTTTCTCTCGCACGTGGGGCGTCTGATCCAGTCAGATGCTGCCTGGCCCGGCCCGTGGGTGCTCCCGGGGCAGGGGAGTGTCCGCTTCACGGAGCTCCTGTGGCCCTGGGCTTCCTCACCTGTCCATCCCCCTTCTGTCCTGCCCTTCTGTCCTCCACACATCCCTCCCACTGCTCCCTTCCTCCCCTGCTGCGACCTTCACTTGCTCTTCGTGGCGTGGCTGGTACGAAGCCTGGCTCCCGGCCCTGCATCCTCCTGATGCTCTTGGCAGGAGCAGCTGCTCTGGATTCCGACTGTCTCTGGCTGCGAGGGCCGTGGGCTCTGTGTTACAGGCATGACAGCACTCGGGGTGCTTGGAGGGTCTCTGCGCCCACCCTCTGCGAGTGTGTCCCATGTGGTCCTAGGGCCAGCCCAGACGGTCCAGCAGAGTTTGTTCCTGTCCTTGGTGCTCAGACAGCGTGCCTGCCTTTATAGCCAGGAGATTCCATCGTCTCTGATCATGTCTCCTGCCCTGGCAGAGCTGAGGGACATTTCTCTGGAACCCTGGACGTTACTCATGGACATTACTCATGGACCCGTAATCACATGGCACCTCAGCAGGGGTTTGGAGGATTGTGCTGGTCCACCCAGGGAACATACGAGGATGCTGGGCGTGGGAGGAGAGGGCCAGTATGAGTTGCAGCGGGCCTGGGTCAGCCTTTCCACACCGAGTGGGCTGGCTGGGGCTCCCAGGAGCTGCTGTGTGTGCGTCCAGGGATAGGACAGGGGCCCAGACGGGGGCCCCCAGCTCTGCCGCTCTGTCAGGGACCAGTGTGTCCTAGAAGGGGCTGGACCAGGGCAACTCTGGGGGAGGACCCAGGCGAGTGTGTGGCGGGGGCTAGAGACCAGGGGTCTGCATAGCAGGGGGTGTAGACGGGTTGCTGGGGGTCCTCATGGTGAGGGGCCTGGAGGGACAGGGTAGGTGGGGACACGGGGCTTCTTGCACAGTTGGAGAGAGTTTGAAGGGGGAGTCAGGACTTGTGGGTGGAATGGGTGAGGGGTGAAGAGGGGCAGGGAGGGGTGTGGGGACAGCAAGATTCGACTCCAGGTGGGGTCGGGTTCTCCTCAGAAGCTCCATGCTGAGGACCAGCCACCGCGTGGGGGAAGCATGTTCCTCGGGTCCAGGAAATTGGAGCTGGGGAGGAAAACAGAATTCTGGGGGCTGGGTATACGATGCCTCCTGAGAAGGCCTGGGGCCTCTGGGAACAGGGCAGCACCGCGTGTGAGCCATGTGAGAGCCGTGTGTGAGCCATTGTGACGTGTGTGAGCCATGTATAAGCTATGTGAGAGCCATGTGTGTCGTGTGTGAGCTGTGTGTGAGCTGTGTATGAGCCGTGCATGAGACATGTGTGAGCCGTGCATGAGACATGTGTGAGCCGTGTGTGAGAAGCACATCAGGGGTGTGCTCAGTCTGGTAGTGTGAGCGGTGTGCCTTGGGTGAGCCATGTGTCATGTGTGAACCATGTGTCATGTGTGAGCCGTGTGTCATGTGTGTGTCATGTGTGAGCCATGTGTCATGTGTGAACCATGTGTGAGCCATGTGTCATGTGTGAGCTGTGTGTCATGTGTGAACCATGTGTGAGACATGTATCATGTGTAAGTCGTGTGTCGTGTGTGAGCCATGTGTGAGCCATGTATCATGTGTGAGCTGTATGTCATGTGTGAGCCATGTGTCATGTGTGAGCTGTGTGTCATGTGTGAGCCAGGTGTGAGCCATGTGTCATGTGTGAGACATGTATCATGTATGAGACATGCATCATGTTTAAGCCATGTGTCATGTGTGAGCTGTGTGAGCCATGTGTCATGTGTGAGCTCTGTGTGAGTCGTGTCATGTGTGTCATGTGTGAGTCGTGTGTCATGTGTGAGCTGTGTGTGAGCCTTGTGTCATGTGTGAGCCTTGTGTCATGTGTGAGCTGTGTGTGAGCCATGTGTCATGTGTGAGCTGTGTGTGAGCCATGTGTCATGTGTGAGCTGTATGTGAGCCGTGTGTCATGTGTGAGCTGTGTGTGAGCCATGTGTCATGTGTGAGCTGTATGTGAGCCGTGTGTCATGTGTGAGCCGTGTGTGAGCCATGTGTCATGTGTGAGCCTTGTGTCATGTGTGAGCCTTGTGTCATGTGTGAGCTGTGTGAGAGCCATGTGTCATGTGTGAGCTGTGTCATGTGTGAGCCATGTGTGAGACATGTATCATGTGTAAGTTGTGTGCCGTGTGTGAGCCATGTGTGAGCCATGTATCATGTGTGAGCTGCATGTCATGTGTGAGCCATGTGTCATGTGTGAGCTGTGTGTCATGTGTGAGCCAGGTGTGAGCCATGTGTCATGTGTGAGACATGTATCATGTATGAGACATGCATCATGTTTAAGCCGTGTGTCATGTGTGAGCTGTGTGAGCCATGTGTCATGTGTGAGCTCTGTGTGAGTCGTGTCATGTGTGTCATGTGTGAGCCGTGTGTCGTGTGTGAGCCGTGTGTGAGCCTTGTGTCATGTGTGAGCCTTGTGTCATGTGTGAGCTGTGTGTGAGCCATGTGTCATGTGTGAGCTGTGTGTGAGCCATGTGTCATGTGTGAGCTGTATGTGAGCCGTGTGTCATGTGTGAGCTGTGTGTGAGCCATGTGTCATGTGTGAGCTGTATGTGAGCCGTGTGTCATGTGTGAGCCGTGTGTGAGCCATGTGTCATGTGTGAGCCTTGTGTCATGTGTGAGCCATGTGTTGGGCTCATTTTTGTAGACCTACAGAGGCTCAAAGTCTCATGCTTTGGGGGTCACTTTGCAGCAGGCTGGACCACCATACCTGGGAGTCTGCTGCCGAGTGTGTCCGGGACTGTGACTAAGGCCTGGACTGTGTGGGTAGTTCCAAGGCTGAGACCACGGCATGGAGTCTGGAGGCCTGTGTGGGTGGCCGGTGCCCTCACTGGTGGCATGAGTCTAGGACTCAGTAGGAGTGAGACTAGTGGGCACGGCCAGTACCCTGGGCATGGTCAGTGCATGTGGGTGTGGAAGTTGGCAGGGTCTTGCCTATTGGCCTGGTCTGTGCCCGCGGGCATAGCTGATGCCCACGCATGTAGTCTGTGCTCGAAGGCGTGATCTGTGTTTGTGGGTGGGGTCAGTGCCCATGTGCATGGCCTGTGGAGTATGATTCTACCTTGAGAGTGTGGTCTGTGCCCCCAGTGTAACCCTCTGTGGTTAAAGGACACTGACCTTCATGGGCACTGCCCACTGCTTTCGGGCGTTGATGGTTTCCAGGGTCCTGTGGCTCCGTGGTCTCAGAGACCACTGCTCTGTGGGCAGTCTCAGCCTCTCAGGTCTTGCTCCAGCTGTGCTCCACGGGGGAGCACCCGCACAGGGGTCAAGGCATGGAGTCTGCATGTCACCCATGAAGGCCAGTGTGGCACCTGTAACCATGGCACAGGCAGGAACATGCAAACGTGTTTTCAACAGAGACCCACTGCCTGAGCCCCGCCGTGTGGGAGGGGAAGTGTGCAGAGGAGAGTTGGCCCGTGGGGACTGGGTCTTTGTGACAGACTCAGCAGTTTCCCTGTCACTGTGGGACGGCCTTTGTCTTTGCCAGGGAAGTCGCCCTTTCTTCTCCGCCCCAGGTGTCCCCACTCAGGGTTGGCAGCGAGCCTTGCCCAGTGGGCTCCTCCCTCCCATGGCCACAGTTCCCTGACTCACCCTGCTGTCGGCTGCTCCCGCCGTGGGTGTCAGGTGTTGCCACCCCCTTCCCGGGGCAGAACAAAGCCCAGGGCACTGCAGGGAACAAGCTGCGACTCTGGGAAATGATCAAAGACCAAGTTGTCCACGTGTGATCCAAAAAGGCTTGAAAGTGTTTGCGACTTTCTGAGAGAATTCGTTAATGGACTAGGGTTTGTCTTACTTTCGAGCAGAATCAGGGAAACCCGTAGTCAGATGCTGATCAGGGGGTCGCTGCCTGTTACAAGAGCCACGTGCAAGAGTCTGCCTGACCAGCGTGAGCTCTCACCCAGGGGCACCCTCATGTTACCTCCCAGTTCTTAGAGCCAGGCCAGAGCTTGGCTCCGGGCTCGGCCCCAGCACTGCCCCAGCGGCTGAGTCCCGTCTGTGGCAGCGCTGCCACTGGACCTGGCCCCTGGCAAGCGCCGGGCTGAGTGAGTCTGGGGGCACCGTGGTTGCTGTAGTCAGTTCCAGAAGGCGGGAGGGGAGCGTTGACGACCGCTTGCTCTGGCCTGCGTGGCTCCCTGCAGACGTAGGCCCTCAGTCTCTGGTCGCAGGGTCCCTGCCAAGCCTCAGAGGTCAGTCTGGGAGCAGGCAGGCTCTCTGCGAGCTGGGGGAGGATGGCGTGGGACCAGCTGCCCCGCTTCTGCGGCACGTGGGCTGCATTGGCATCTCTGGGCGTGAGGTGGCAGAGCACCTGCAGGAGGCCACGGGGCTGGGCAGCTCTGACGCCTCCTTCCTCACCAGAGTCTCCCCAACCCCCAGTCATGGGCCACGGGTATGGTGTGGGGACAGAGCTGCTCTCACCCAGGGTCACCCTCATGTTACCTCCCTGTTCTTAGAGCCAGGCCAGAGGCCACCACAGCACAGAGCTGCTGTGTGTGTGACTGTGTGTGTTCTGCAGCGTGTGTGTCAGACTGTAAGCATGAGAGTGTGTATGTGAGCATTGTGTGTGTGTAAGCATCTGCGAGTCAGTGTGTGTGTGACTTTGAGTGCATGAGTTTGGGGGGTTGTGAACATGTGTAACTGTGAGCGTGAGTGTGTACAAATGCAGTGAATGAGTCTGAACATGAGTGTGTGGAACGGGTGTGAGTGTTATGAGCGAGTGTGTCTGTGAACACAACTGCCTTTGAGTGTGTGTGAGTGTGTGGATACATGTGAGTGTGGGTGGGAGTGTGTGTGAGTAGATATGTTTGGGTGTGTGAGTGTGTGGATGCATATGAGTGTGAGCGGGAGTGTGAGCGTGTGAGTGTGTGTGTGAGTGTGTGTGAGTGCGTGTATATGTGTACGTATATGTGTGAATATGTGTATATGTGTGTGTTTCCTCCCTTAGCCCAGGCCACGTCGTAGAACAAGCTCAGAGGGGACAAGGGAGTGCCCCAGTGTGTGTGTGTGTGTGTGTGTGTGTGTGTGTGTGTGTGTGTGTCCTGGGCACTCAGTGTGTCTCAGAGTATGTACCAGCAGGGAGATTATGCCACTCATGTCCTGGGTGAAACTGCAGGCACAGGAAGGAGATCTGTCCATGGTGTGCTGGGAGTCCTAGGCCTGGCCTGGCCCAGCCATCGTGTGGGCAGCCCTGAGCCCCTCTCCCTGCTTGGCCCTGCACGTGGCGTGGGTTACCCTGCAGCCTGGGGTGGTCCGGCTGTTCCTCGGAATGGACAGCAGCCCCCGCGCTGCCTCTCCGGGCTGAGACAGACCTGTCGCAGTTTCCCAGGATCTGCTCTGCTGTGGTTCGTCACTGAGGTCTGAGAACAGCAGTGATGGGCCCGTCCTGGCCAGGCCAGCGTGGGGCTGCTGCTCAGGACCATGTGCCCTGGTGGTGGGGGCTGCGGCTCCCTGCCGGGAAGGGGTCGTCCAAGGGGCCGCCTCCCTCCGCAGGCAGGGCTACGCCACCTCTGCCCCCTGGGCTGTGCTCACCTGTGCTTGTCTCCCTGCAGGCGACCCGCGCTTCCAAGGCCCCGTGTTCACCCAGGAGCCTGGCGACAGTGTCTTCCCTGTGGGCGCAGAGGACAGGACGGTCACCTTGAGCTGTGAAGCCAGAGGCAGCCCCTCCCCGCATTACAGGTAAGTGGGACCCCCGCAGCTCAGCCCTGTACCGGGGCTCGGGGGTGCAAGCTGAGCTGAGAGTTGCCAGGAGGAGCCACGAGGAATAGGGAGGAGCGGCCGCACCCACCCTGCCCTGCACCCGTGGGTGCCCGCGGCACAGAGCAGCTCCTGTCTTGATGCCGGTGGCAGAGCACGAGGCTGAGGCTGGGACGGGGCTCAGGGGCTCCAGGCAGACGAAGCCTCGGGAGAGGCGGGTTTGGGTCTGCACCTCTACGAAGGCCCCCCAGTGTCCTCCATGGGGAGGCTGGCCCTGAGTCCCTCCTCCTGGGCTTGCGTCCCCAAAAACTAAACCTTTCCCAAAGTCCTCTTCTTTTTTTTATTTAACAGCTCTTTATTTCACAGTTCATGTAAATATATGTTTTTTTAATTTTTATTAGTGAAACACCATGAGATACAGTTGTAGATTACAAATTTTTGTGCTTGGGTTTCGATTATACAATGATCAAGTACCCATCCCTCCACCAGTGCCCATTTTCCACCACCATGGATAATATCCCTTCCCCTCCTCCATTCCCCCCCACATCCCACCCTGCCTCTGTAGCAGGGCATTCCCTTTTGTTCTCTCTCTCCTTTTGAGTGTTGTGGTCTGCAAAAGAGCCTTTGAGTGGCAAACATGTTCAGTCCATAGTCTACTTTCGACATGCATCTCCCCTCCTGGGAGGATCCTCCAAACATCTTTTATTTGGTGCTCCCTTCTCTATCTGAGCTGCCCTTTCCCCTAGAATACCCGGCTGACTTCTAAGCTATAGAGTAATCCTCCTGGTGCTGATCTCAGCTATTCTTGGGTATTAATCTCATACTTTGTTACTTTATATCCCCCAGATGAATGCAATCTTTCTATGTCTATCCCTCTCTTTCTGACTCATTTTGTTTAGCATGATACATGACACATCATAAGACACTAAATACCCATCTTCTGGAATTGTCGTACCATATTTGATAGGGTTCAAATATGGTAACACCTACAAGGGTGATTAGAGGTCGCCCCAAAAGCCTCTATACCTCTCGGAAAGACTGGCAAGCTACCGAGAGTATTCCGCCCGCACGGAAGAGCCTGGCAAGCTATCCACTGTGTATTCGATATGTCAAAACCAGTAACTACAACTGGTCTCATTCATCTGACCCTGAAGGCTTCACGGACATGGCAGCACTGAGAAGGATGAGAAAGGAGAGGCCGACAAAATCTCAAGGCCGACCTAGGCTGCCACAACGAAGGAAGACAAAAATGATCGTCTGTACTTTCAATGCACGTACGCTAGCATCAGATGCATCCATCGAGGACCTAATGGTACAAGCGCGAATGATCAAGTACGACATCATTGGTCTGACCGAGACAAGAAGGCACGAATCTCACCATGCCGTTTTTGACACTGGAGAAGAATTGTTCCTCGGAACATGCGATAAAAGAGGTCTTGGAGGCGTCAGTGTCCTTGTCAACACAAACTTGGCCAAGAGCATTGATTCATTCGAATGCCTAACAACCCGAATCAGATGTTTACATTTGAATAGATGTGGCTCACTGCCTGCAGTTTCTATCTTCGTTGTCTACGCACCAACATCTCATTATGATGAAAGAGAAATCGAGAAGTTCTTCATGGAGCTAGAGAAGTTCTATAAAGAAGACCACACCTTCTACAAGATCATTGTGGGTGATTTTAATGCCAAGATAGGACCGAGAAGATCAGCTGAAGAACTTCACATCGGGACCCATGGCCTAGAATGGAACGAACAGGGTGAGAGACTGTCTGAGTTCATCATGTCGACCAAGACCATTCATGGTAACTCACAGTTCCAGAAGGCAGAATCTAAACGATGGACATGGGAGTCTCCCGGTGGATGATTCCACAACGAAATAGACCACATCATATTCAATCGACGGTTTTGCCTGACTGATGTCGCTGTTGTCCCAAAATTTCTAACGGGATTGGACCACCGTCTCCTTCGTGCAAAATTCTACTTCACAGAGCGGGGAGAAAGGGCTGCAAAGTTCAAAAAGAGAACTCCCAGAATGACCACCAACTGGGAACTCTTTGGTACTATTGTGGCAACATGGGAAGATGCCATTGTTGACAACATTGACGAGGAATACGATCGACTGGTTCAGCACCTCCATGAATGTGCGAGGAACGCCAAGAGAGAGATAGCCACAAAAAGTCTCCTATCTTCGAAAACTCTTGAGCTAATTCGCCAGCGTGGTTTGGCGCATGCCTCAGGCAACCGCAAGCTAACGTCCGAGCTTGCAAAGCAGTGCAGAGATGCGATCAAGGAAGACCTCAAAGAGAGAAGAGCAGAAGTACTGGTAGATGCGGCAGAAGCCGGGAAAAGTATTCGTAACGCCCGCCTGTTCTTTGCCAACTATAAGACCAAGATGACTGCCCTCCGACGTCCTGATGGTTCCATCACATCCTCCAGAACGGCAATGGAGAAGATTATCCATGACTTCTACTCAAATCTCTTCGATAGCCATGTCCACTTGCTGACATACCAAATTCCACAGGATGGGTATGTCGTTCCCAACGTTCTCCCTTCCGAAATCTGACAGGGCATTTCGTCGGTAAAGAAACAAACAGCACCCGGCCCAGACAAGGTCAGACCTGAACACCTGAAGAACCTGCCGTCAGTACTCATCAATACACTGGCTCGGCTCTTCACTCGCTACCTGTCTGAATGCAAGGTTCCGTCCCAATGGAAAACCAGCAGGACCGTACTACTGTTCAAGAAGGGAGACATCCATGACATTGGCAACTATCGCCTGATCTGCCTATTGTCTGTCATCTACAAGTTGTTCACTCAAGTCATCCTAAATAGGATTGGCAGAACACTAGATGAAGGACAACCATGCAAGCAAGCAGGGTTCTGCAAAGGATTCAGCACCATCGACCATATCCACGCGATAACCAAGCTCATTGAGGTTTCTCGGGAGTTCAAGATGCCGCTCTGCTTAACGTTCATTGATTTAAAGAAGGCCTTTGATTCTGTTGAGACGGAAGCGGTCATTGAAGCCCTAGCCAATCAGGGCATTCAAGCCCAATACATCAGGATCCTCCGTGAGCTGTATTGCGGATTCACTACCAGGATCTCACCATTCTACAAAGAAGTGATCATTGATGTCAAGAGAGGGGTGCGGCAGGGTGATACCATTTCACCGAAACTCTTCAGTGCCACACTCGAGAACATCATGCGACGACTGGAATGGGAAGGAATGGGAGTGAAGATAGATGGTCGGCAACTACACCACCTCCGCTTTGCTGATGACATTGTTTTAATAACACCAAACATCAGCCAAGCGGCACAAATGCTGGCCGACTTTGACCGTGAGTGTGGAAAGGTAGGACTACAGCTGAATCTTACGAAGACAATGTTTATGAGAAACAGCCTTGTTCCTGACGCCCCATTCGCTCTCAATGGAACGACCATCTCCGAATGCAACAGCAATGTCTACCTAGGTCGAGAGGTCAACATGACAAATGACCTGGCACCCGAGCTGCACAGGAGGAAGAGAGCGGCTTGGAACGCCTTCAAGATCATCGAAGAAATAGCTAAGAGGACGAAGAACCTCCGGCTCCGGGCACATCTCTTTGATTCCACTGTTCTTCCTGCATTAACATATGCCTCAGAGACCTGGGCCCTACGCAAACAAGATGAGAACGCTATTCAGGTCTCCCAAAGAAGAATAGAAAGAGCTATGCTTGGAATATCACGTTTCACTCAAATGAGAGAAAGAATCTGGAGTTCTGACATCCGTCGATGATCAAGGATCAGGGACGCTGTCTCATTTGCCAAGGTGTCGAAAATCAGATGGGCTGGTCACGTAATGAGATTTAAAGACGACCGTTGGACTAGAGCTGTTACTGATTGGATTCCACGGGATGTCAAGAGACCGCGTGGCCGCCCACCTACCAGATGGTCAGACTTCTTCGTCAAGATCATGAACGATCGGTTTGAGGCCCTTCATGTTCCTGGAGCAAACAGATGCCATTGGGCTACACTAGCACGCGACAGGGACAAATGGAGACGGTACTGGCGCCCGCTCGAGCAAATCGACGACTAACGGGAAGTTAAGTGATTAAGTGATTAAGTGATGATACTTTCCATGTTGTACCACTTGTATGTAAATTTCGTGACTTCATCTTTTCTAACAGCTACATAGTACTCCATTGTGTAGATGTACCAAAGTTTCTTTAACCAGTCATCTCTTCTTGGGCATTCAGGTTTCTTCCAGTTTCTGGCTATTGTAAAGAGTGCTGCAATGAACAAACAAGTGCAGATTCACTTCGACTATACATTTTTGCCTCTCTGGGATATATTCCCAGGAGTGGTATTGCTGGGTCAAATGGGAGCTCAATTTCTAATTTTTTGAGAAACCTCCATACTGTTTTCCAAAAGGGCTGAACCAGTCGGCATTCCCACCAACGGTGAAGAAGGGTCCCTTTCTCGCCACATCCGCGCCAGCATTGGTTGCTTTTGTTCTTTTGAATGTGGGCCAGTCTCTGAGGTGTGAGATGGTATCTCATTGTGGTTTTGATCTGCATCTCCCTGATGATTAATGATGTAGAGCATTTTCTCATGTGCCTGTTTGCCATTCGGATTTCTTCTTTGAGAAAGTTTCTGTTCATTTCATTGCCCCATTTTTTGATGGGGTTGGATGTTTTCTTCTTGTGGAGTTCAACCAGTATTTTGTATATCCTTGATATCAACCCCTTGTCAGATGTGTATTTGGCAAATATCCTTTCCCATTCTGTAGACTGTCTTTGTATTTTGGTCACTGTTTCTTTTGAGGTGCAGAAGCTTCTTAGTTTAATATAGTCCCATTTATCTATCTCTGTTTTCACTTGCTCAGCCAGTGGCGTGGCATCTTTGAAAATACCATTAGCTTCAATGTCATGGAGGGTTTTGCCAACTTTGTCTTCAATGTACCTTATGGTTTCTGGTCTGATGTTGAGGTCTTTAATCCATTT